TGAGACTATGACGTATCACCAGTCTGTAGCGTACAATGAGACTATGACGTATCACCAGTCTGTAGCGTACAACGAGACTGTGGCGTATCACCAGTCTGTAGCGTACAACGAGACTGTAACGTATCACTAGTTTGTAGCGTACAACGAGACTGTGGCGTATCACCAGCCTGTAGCGTACAACGAGACTTTGACGTATCACCAGTCTGTAGCGTACAACGAGACTGTGGCGTATCACCAGCCTGTAGCGTACAACGAGACTATGACGTATCACCAGTCTGTAGCGTACAACGAGACTGTGGCGTATCACCAGCCTGTAGCGTACAACGAGACTGTGGCGTATCACCAGCCTGTTGCGTACAACGAGACTATGACGAATCACCAGTTTGTAGCGTACAACGAGACTGTTACGTGAAGTGTTTTGGATCAAGACGGTAATATTTACTTCCCACATCATTATAATGTACGATTTTTGAACAATGTGTTTAGTGTTAGGAATGAATCCTTTTAATATTTGTATATATAAAGAACAGTAAGAAGACTGTCAACATGGATGTACACTTATTTGTAATAAATACGAAATCGAATTGCAGGAGTATACTTAGATTATAATACGATTCTGTGAAACATTGTTCGTCCAAAACGAGAAAATAAAATTACAAATTCTATTTCCCGGAAATATCATAACTAGAAGGTATAGCAAAAATGACTAATAATGTTACTTCTCTGAAATGTTGGTTGTTGGAAGGCAAAATATGAAAAATAAATAAATCATTTTTCTGGAAATTTGGTATATTGGTGATAAAAATGATTACTTTCTTGAAATGATGTTCGTCATAAGATGAAAGAATAAATTAACAATTAAGTTACTTCTGTAAAATTCTGGTTCTCAGAAAATGGAATAAAAAACTGTGACATTATTTTTCTGATTGGTCGTCAGAAGATGAAATAACAAAGATTAGTTACGTTACTTCTCTGATATGTTGGTCATTAGAAGATGAAATAACCAAGATTAATAACGTTACTTCTCTGATTTGTTGGTCGTCAGAAGATGAAATAACAAAGATTAATAACGTTATTTACCTGATTTGTTGGTCGTCAGAAGATGAAATAACCAAGATTAATAACGTTACTTCTCTGATTTGTTGGTCGTCAGAAGATGAAATAACAAAGATTAGTTACGTTACTACTCTGATATGTTGGTCGTCAGAAGATGAAATAACCAAGATTAATAACGTTACTTCTCCTATTTGTTGGTCGTCAGAAGATGAAATAACAAAGATTAGTTACGTTACTTCTCTGATATGTTGGTCATTAGAAGATGAAATAACCAAGATTAATAACGTTACTTCTCCTATTTGTTGGTCGTCAGAAGATGAAATAACAAAGATTAGTTACGTTACTTCTCTGATATGTTGGTCATTAGAAGATGAAATAACAAAGATTAGTTACGTTACTTCTCTGATATGTTGGTCGTCAGAAGATGAAATAACCAAGATTAGTAACATTACTTCTCTGATATGTTGGTCATTAGAAGATGAAATAACAAGATTAATAACGTTATTTACCTGATTTGTTGGTCGTCAGAAGATGAAATAACAAAGATTAATAACGTTATTTACCTGATTTGTTGGTCGTCAGAAGATGAAATAACAAAGATTAGTAACATACTTCTCTCATATGTCGGTTGCAGCTGATAAAAAAGGAGTGAACATATTAGCTTATGAAATTGAATACAAAGGTCACATTTGATGACTGAAAGTATTCTGAGATATATAATCGACATTAAACAAGTGATACATAAGATATCCTTTCATACAGATATACTTAAAATCAACAGTTTAAGAACACTCCAATAATAAAAATATGTCGAAGAGTCACTTTACTAGTATCACAAACTAATACGAGTATGTTTCGCTTTATGAAATGCACGTAACCTTGACTACACAAGATTCCAAAAACCATCTTGTTCGATTATAGTTCATTTTGAACGATATTTCTCTCAACTTTAATACCTAATTATCGAACTATCGATATAAGATGTCTAATGTTTTAATATTTTGTGACTACCATTCAAACACAAATAGAAGTAATTAACGATAATTGATTTCAGAAAATAAAACTGATTGTAGATTATGAGACATTTTAGAGCATTCTCAAATTCACAGCATCTCTTTCTGACTTGAAAACCAAATCTTACTTTGATCCAAATACTGTTCTTTTACTGCATTTTGTATTTTAGGTTGCTTTGATTTATCCACAGCACGTTCCTGATATTCAGTCTGACAACACACGAAGATAGTAATATGTCCTTGTCAGAATGAAATTCCACCGAATTCATGGCAGGAACATCCAGCTAACAGATGGCGACACTCGAGCAGTTCGCACGTCTTCTTTTTGCGATGCCATAACATTCGGGAATAAGCCGTTATCTATTAATTCCCGAATTTCCGTCCAGCTCAATGCCTCTGAAGAATGGAGTGGAGCCTTACGTCTAGGAGTGACGTCACATGATCCTAGTTCACTAACGACCTCTATGCTACCTCGTTTTGCCTGTCCTGACGTTTTTTTTAAAGAAGGATTTTGTGCTCGACCGATACCAGAAGAATGGGCGAGGGATGGAACCAAGTAGGAAAGTTTTACTAAACTTGTATATTCTTTACTATGCGTTAAAATGTATGCACAAAAAACAACAACAAAAAAAACACAGGTGCTACTATTTGAAACAGGCATCTTCTAACGAGATCACGTGATAAACATATAACAGTAAGCTGTAATGGATAGCACATTTCTCTAAACAGTTGTAGTCATTTTTCCAGCATACACGTTGTCATGATATAAAAGACTGTTTCGTTCAGATATTATTGATTAATTTAGTTTTTTGAGTGAATATTTTACTACTGTTTAGTTTTTGTTATAATAAGAGTTAAAAGCGGACGATTGTAGGAAGTTTTGTTAATAATTCATTGATGCTGAGAATATCGAACGTCACGTGCAATATATTGACGTCGAGAATATAGAAGGTGGACAGACGATTAGGCAATATAGATATAAATAGCATGAGACGAGCGGGAAGCAGCAGACAGACAGAAGCAGACAGATTGTAGCAAAAGAGAATAATGTGGGTGTGAAGTTAACTACCGTAGAAGTGATAGGCCTAACAATTGACATAGGTCTAACGTTTAATATGTTACAGTAAGACTAACAGTAGGAGAGGAGATAAGAATAATAATTTATTTTCGTCAAAGCATGGTTCTAAAGTAATTGAATTAGCCTGAGTGCACTTTGACAAAAGGAGCAGAGGATCTTCAGAAGAAAGAAGACAAAACGATTACGGTAACTCGCACCACAATTGTAAGTGAATCACAGAGAACACTAGTGCTAGGAGGAAGAGGTCACTATGAACCTGACCCTCCTAGGTCGCAAAGACCTAAATCCTGACACGGAGAGAGAGAGAGTGCGGTAGAAATAGAGAAGATAGTTCGGCTTGTCAACTGAAATTCTAATGTAACTGAATAGGCCTAAGTGGATACTTGACAAGAAGGAGAGAACTATGTATATAGTATTTATGATATGCCCATAATATCTCTGTAGCATTGAATAATTTATTGTACACACGTTAACTTGTTCTGGATATGTATATTATTTTGAAAACAAGTGAAGTGTATGCTGTTTATTCATCTTTGAATTTCTCGCTAACAATTCACAGACACCTACTGTAGAAGAATCCTAAGCCCAACAACAACATAATTTATACTATTAAGAAATATAACTTATATTTTGATAATTGGCGAAGAACAGATTTTTAAATTCTGACACACGTGAACAGATTACTTAAAATAATGCATAATCCATTAAAAAATGTGCATGATATACTGCTGCTCCTCACTAAACAACAACTAAGTTGTTTACTTCGAGTCATAATCCGAAAACAGGAGTCAACGATGTCTCATCGGTAAACTTTAGTTACGGTTTTAACGCCACAATTCGAGATTTTATAACGATGTAAACACAACCCAGATAACTCATTGTATAGCTTTGCGTTACAAAAAAACAACAAAAACTAACAAATACACCGAAAATAGAAAAAATGAGAATAAGAAAGATTAATTATTTTTAGCTCCTCCCCTTCGCATAACAGCTTACAAATGTCACGCACAATAATATATGTATATACTAGCTAGAGTACCCGTCTCCTGGACGGAAGTTATGTAAATTCATGGTTACTGAAAGGTTATTTTAGGACATGAAAAGTTGGTTCTCTTATATGTAATTGTAAAAAACGCCCATAAAAACTAAAAGACATAAAATTTGAAACCGCAAGTTTGCGGGCATCTTCGCATGGACCCAACGAACCTTCATGCGAAATTAGGTGAAGATCCACCAACAGGGGGCGAGGTAGTGGTGAAAAACGCCCATAAAAACCGCAAAACGCAAAATGCAAAACTGAAAATTTGTGTGTATCTCCCCATGAACCCCATGAACCTCCTTACCAAATTTGGTGAAGATTTATCCATACCCTACGAAGTACTTACATGGACTAACAGTAGACAGTACTATTATATTTATATAGATATACTGTTTCTATGGAAGGAAATATATTCGTTTTATGATTTAAAATAGAAAGACTCGATTTTTAAAGAATATTCTGCATTTTATTTTTACTCACACGTCGTATCTTATAAATCTAAACACATTTGAATGAAATTAATATTTATGTTTCATTTTTGTCTTAGCGAAAGACATGCTTATCAACGTTTTATTGCTATTTAACAGATTAACATTCTACGTCAACAGCCAAGGGTATTTCCATGTATTCGTCAATAACGAACATAAGGGGGCGCTCCTATCAGGACTTTCAGTCAAGGAGCAGCTGTGGCCTATTTTGGACCTCTATGGAATAACTGTATCAATCAAATTTATAGCAACAGGTAAGTGTTTTAATAGACAGATAGACAGATATTTTTACACCAGATAAAAATATTTGAATTTAACGTGTCACATAGAAATTAACCCATGAACTGTACGAAACAGTCCAATAATATTTTGTTCAACGTCGTAGTTATAGCAAATAACAGAGAAAGAGTTATTAAATAAATTAAAAATCCCCCGGTGGGCCAGCAGTAAGCTTACGGAATTATAACACTAAAATCTGAGGTTTGATTCCCAATGGTGGATACAGCAATGTGGCTTTACTCTAAAAAGCCAAACAAAACAAAAAACAATAGATTACAGTTTGGAAACCAAACAGAAAAAACATATATTCGACCAGCTTCGACAAGAAGGCCCACATTAAGCCCAATTATCTTTTGATCAGAAATATTTACAATACAAAAACAAGAATAATTAATAGCTGTTTATTAGAATTTAAAACTATTTTTTTGTAATATAGTATTTTTATATGATACAGAATAGTGTAAATAGTAATTTATACATCTATATAATGCAGGATATTATAAATAATATTACATATTTATATAATACAGGATATTGTAAATAATATTACATATTTATATGATACAGGATATTGTAAATAATATTACATATTTATACGATACAGGTTATTGTAATTAATAATATAGATATATAATACAGGATATTGTAAATAATATTACATATTTATATAATACAGGATATTGTAAATAATATTACATATTTATATGATACAGGATATTGTAAATAATATTACATATTTATACGATACAGGTTATTGTTAATAATAATATAGATATATGATACAGAATAGTGCAATTAATAGTTTCTTTATATGATACCAAATACTGTAAATTATAGTATATTAATAGCACTTATATATTATTCATATTTTGGTAAAAATAACGTTTTCTCAAGTCACTTCATATAATAATGTGATTTACATTCAACTATTCTAAATATTGGATACGGGTTGGTCCTGTGGTGGAGCTCTGTATTTCGGAGCGAACGAATCGAGTCTCTAATCATTGCGATACTATAAAATATATTCCACACTTTGAGTTGTGGGGGTGTTGTAACAGTGACAATCAATCCCTTAGCGTAGACTGCGTGTAGTTGGGAACTGCCTTCCTTATTTTGCCATAAATACAATTTTAAATATCGGGGAAACCGTGGCTAAGTGGTTAGCGCTTTGGATTCGTAATCGAAAGATTGTTGGTTCGAAGCTTGTTCGTACCTAATTGCTGTGTCCTTGCGTAAGACATTTTAACCCAGATTGCTTCAGCTCAGGTAGACGTAAATTCGATACTAGCTAATAGCTGGAGAGTTAATCTGCGACGAACTAGCATCTTCTTGAGGAAGAATGTGATGTCATACCCATCCTCTTTTGACACGGTAACTGGTGTTGAGCACGAGCCTTATGTACCTTTTCAGGCATGGAAGTAATTTTTATTTTCAAATAAAAATAAATTTCTTCACGCAGTATTTATAACGTAATTTAACATTTTTTGACTAAAACCAGTTTTTTTTTAATTCTGTCCTGAAAAACAAGGTTGGGTACCACGTGATCTGTTTTCTTTATTATTAACCGATGTACCGTGTTGTTTTGGTTTCAGAACAAGGTACCCCATCTCCATTGATGACAGAACAGGGTACCCCATCTCCAATAATGACAGAACACGGTACCCCATCTGCAATGATGACAAAACAGGGTACCCCAACTACAATGATGACAAAACAGGGTACCTCATCTCCAATGATGACAGAACAGGGTACCCCATCTCCAGTGATGACTAACTATAAACAGATAAATATTGTTACGTTTCTGTTCGTTTGTTAATTTCCCGTAAAAATTATTTCCGAAGAACTTCAG